TTAATATGGCTTTACTTTTAATGCCTCATGGTTACACTTTTCTGTTGGATGGTTAAGATCAAGTTAAAGCAAGACCTACACAACTAGAAATGTAACCTTTGCTATAAGGTAAGGTCAGGCAAATCACTGAGAATTTACCCTGGAACCACGCACAGCACCCTATGAGGGCTCCTCTGTCAGTGTCAGCCATCTGGATGAGTCAGGCCATTGCCTGACGAATTGGATCTCTGCAAAAGCTCCAGGGAACCTTTTTTCTCCAGGCAACTCTCATTAAGCACACTATACATCATCAATCCTGGGGCATGTAGTATTATTTTCCATCCTTTGAATTTCAGCCTATGTATTTCTTCATGAGTTAAATGTGTTTCTTTTATACAGTATGTTGTTGGATTTTGTTTCCTAATCCACTGTGCCAGTCTATTTGTCTTAATTGGTGGATTGAGTCCATTTACATTGATGGTTATAATTGTGATGTTTGACTTACGATTGACAAATTATTTCTCTGCTGTTGTTTAATCCTTTTTCTCCTATGTTTAATTGTTTGTCCTGTTTAGTTGGTTGCTTCTGTTCTCATTTGTAGAGGTCAGATTATTTTGGTCCCTCTCTTGAACATCTTTCAGGGGCCTGTGTAGGGTTGGCTTTGTCATCATAAAGTTCTTTAGTTGTTCTTTGTCAAGGAAGTATTTCACTTCTCCATCAAACTTGAAAGAGAGTTTTGCAGGCTATAGTAATGTGGGCTGGAATTTGTTTTCATACAGGACTTGAAGTACTCTGCTCCATGCTTTTCTTGCCTTCATGGTTTGTGAAGAGAAGTTAGCCCTAATTCTGATGGGTTTTCCTTTGAATGTGATCTGCTTCTTTTCTCTAGCAGCTTTCAGTATATTATTCTTGTGCTGAATTTCTGGGAATTTGACTATTATATATCTCGTTGTGTTTTTAATTGGGTTGAGGTTACTTGGTGTTCTGTATGCTTCATTTATCTAGATGTCAGATTCTTTCCTCATATTTGGGAAATTTTCTGTTATTACTTCTGCCCATATCTTTTTAATGTCATTTGTATTGACTCCTTCTTTCTCATTGATGCCTATTAGTCTCACATTGTTCATCTTTGCATCATATTTCAAGTGATGAATTATTTTTTCCTGCATCATAGTTGTTTTTAGGAGATCTTTTCTTACCTTTTCACTAGCTGCACCATCATCTTCAACATCTGAAACTCTATCTTCACTTTCACTCAAACATGTTTGAAAGTTTATGGTTAAGATTTTAATTTCCTCTATATCTCTTTGACTCTGCTTCATGTGATCTATTTCTTTCCTGTATTGCTCATTCATGGAATCTGCCATTTTTCTAATCTCCTCTACTTTTTTAAATCAATTTCTTTTTAGAAGCAATTATTAATTCTTTTACTGCAGAGTTTTTTTTCAGTTTGGGTTTTCTCCATATTTTTTTGTATTTGATTCTTTACTTCAAATGCTATGAGTTCAGAGATTTCTTTTTTTATTTCAGAAATTAATTCAGCTCTGAGTCCCTATATACCTTTCTGCTGTTTCTTATTTACTTTCACTGCTCTTAATTCACACATTTCAGCTGAGCCAATGTCCTCTGCACTTGTTCTATGTGGGCATTGGGTTTCCTCCATATGTTTCTGTATTTGATTCATTACTTGAGATGTTATTAATTCAGTGATTTTTTTAAATCCCTGGTCTGAGTTCCTCTATACCTTTCTGTAGTTGTTTCTTTATTTCAGAAGCTGTTGATTCATTGATTTCAGCTGCGTGATTCCCAATTTGTTCTGTGCTAGTGTCCTCTGTGCTTGTTATGGATGGGCTTGGGGTCTGAGATTGCGTTTTACTCCTTCTCTTTGTCATTTGGTATAGCACTGTCTTGTGACCTTTGTTGTAGTTCTTCTGTGCAGTTTTAACCTTAGCACCTACTGAAATTCAGTTGCAGATCTACAAAATTTGAATTTATCCAGTTGTGCCAGGCTTGGGTCTGGCTGCTGTGCTCAGCTCCTTCCTTCTGCAGCCCTTTGGAGTGATCCTGTTGTGCCCCTCTGGCAAGATGTTCTGCTTCTTGACTAGCTTGGTGGTTCTACCCCTATGCTCTCGGCAGGGACTGCAGTTGAAGAGTTTCATCCCTGGCCTGTATGCTAGGCCTAAGCTGAGTCTGAGGGGGACAAGGGGGTGTAGGTGAGAGGGAAAGCTCTCCTACACACTCACATGGTTTTGTCTAGGGCTGGATCTGGGAGTCCCGAGAATGTGGCAGAAGTTCTCACTCAGTTGGCAGGCATGCGGGGTGGCTGCAGAATGGTGGGGTGGTCCTGAGGACCTGGAAGCAGGTCTTAATCACGCTGCTTGCCTGGGTATGGACAGTACAGGTCCTGTGGGTGCAAGGTAGCAGGAATCTCTCCCACACACTTACTGCGCCTTGGCTGTGGCTGGATCTGTTGTTTGTTCAAGAAAGTCTCTGGAGTCTCCTTTCCTCTGTGTCTGCATCGATCCAATCCTCCCCTCTAACACAGCAAACTGAAGTCAGGGTACTAGATCAGTTTGCTGCCTCTTTTATTCTGTATTGAGATCTATCTCTCACTTTATCCTTTATGTTTTGTGTTTTAATAATGACAGCTTTTCCTGCATCATGTAGTATATTTTATTTTCAAGAAATCATTGTTTAAAGATTTACTGAGAAATGAAGCCTAATAATTTTTAAATGCTAGCATAATATGCTTTTCATATCATCATGTCTTAGGTACTGCATTTTTGTTTAGGGGTTTTCAGCAGCTCTCTTGGTTTAACATGTTATACTATTCCACTTCATGGGTCAAATGCATGGATAACATATGTATCTGTGCACATGAACTTCACTTAGTAAATGACAGTAGTGCCTGCAATTCCAATTTTGGAAATACAGTGGACTGCCAATGTTTTAAAAATACATTATAGATCAAACTCACCTGCTAACTGCCCACAGCACAGTACTCCATCATTTGAATATGTTATATTTGCATTTTAGAATTATAGATTATCTGATTTAATTCTCTTACATGTGCAGTCTATTTGCATCCATTTACATATAAAGGCCTCAAATTTGTCTTTGTTTATAACTGAATAATACTCCATTGTATAAAAATACTGTATCTTTTTATACGTTCCTCAAGTGATCAGCATTTTCGTTGTTTTCCAGATTTCGCTTGGCCAAAGTTTTATGCTCTATACATGGTTCCACATATATCACTGTGTTATGATATTGTCAGTTGTTTTGGAAAAGTACCTAGAAGATCCACATGGGTAAATAACTCATTGTCTCCCTAGTGTAAGAACCTGAAAAAATAAAATCTAAAAGGAATAATAGGGGTAGTAAAGTGGAAACAAACTGAGTGTAAGGAGTAAACAATAAAGTTGAGGGAGAGGGAAAAAAGATCGGAAGAGAAATAAAGGGGAAAGATCATGCAAGAATATATCCAGGATAGCTGAGATGATTGTAGTACTCATTTCCAATATTTTTTGAAAATAGCAGTTAATCCTTAACATTTTCATGTTGTCTAATTCTGAGCAAATACATTGAAGCCTGTAAAGTGCAATACACAAACCATATTTGAATACGTTCCTCTTGTTCTTCTAATTATGAACCAATTTAAATTTTTACCAAATAATGTACTACTTTTGCGTCTTGCAGGTTAGCTCAGTTGTTTAAGCGCTAGCTTGGGCAAACCCACTGAGGCGCAGGGACGGCATTTAGATCCCCAGCTCCACATGCCTTGCCAGACTTGCCCTTAATGAGGTCTAGGAATACTTCATCTTGCTTAAAGAACAAAACAGTAAAGTGTTGATGTTAAAATATTACAGTTATTTGCAAGTCCTCCGTGCACATAAAATGACACTGTTGTGGGTGGCAGTCGTCCTGAGGACTGAGATAGGAGGCCGATTTACAAAAGTCCTTCGTTCTTCTCAGGTGTGCCCATGGTAGGACCTCATTTCTCTGCTGTGCTGTAATTAGTCCGCCCATGTGGATGAATTCTGGCCAATGCAATGGAAGCCAGAGACATGTAGGCCACTGTTAAGCATAAAAATGGACCTTCAACGCTCTCTGTCACCCCAGATCTCTTGGGCAGATCGTGCAATAAAGAGTGCAGCGGATGACTGCTCTGACAGTCACCCAGAGCAGTCATCTGCTGAACAGATTTGACGATGGAAATATGTAATGTAACAACCATTGTTTACTTTCTATTCTTGTTTTGAAACTATATCATTTGAGCTGTCACTTTTTACTCTAACCTTGTCTTTGTTCAAATAAAAAAATACAAAAACTACAAGAAAATGAATAAAAATTATAGAAAAAAATTTTGTTCTTCTTTCAAAACCTTTCCCTGAAGCAGGACATAAAAACTTATCTGCATTCTACTAGAGATTTTCATGAGATCCTCAGTGCCAGAGATTCCCTCTTGTGACCCAGTGGAAACATGCATGCTCATGTTCAAAGATACAGAGATGCAAGGCAGAATGTGAAAAATGCCTGCGGTGGAGCGCTCGGGCGATACCCGCACTGTGGGCGGAATGAGCACCACGAGTTCAAGCACAGACCAAGCAACTGCTTGTGTTGTACAGAGAACAAAATATGCATGGTGGTTAGGAGGGTCAGTGCTACGTGCATGTGAGCCATCCCGAGTAGTGGGAGAACACAGGAAAAGCAGAAGTAGAAGGAACAGAGGAGCAGGAAGAAGAGGAAGAAGGTGGAGAACGAGGAGGTGAGCTATACTCGGGACAAGAAGAACGGCAGCAGCAGGAGCAGAGAATGGGAAGAGACCTCACTAAGTTCTGTGTCCTTTTATTTCCATCATTCCAGACACTGTCTTTGTCATCACACTTGTGCACTATTCCGCACCCTTCCACACACATAAGCGTAACCCTTCGTGGCTGTCTTTCCCTTTTGTTGAGATTTTCGTAACTAAGTTCTCATGTCACTTGAAATTCAGCTGACATTATTTGTGCATTATAATTTTGAACCTGGACTACCATATCAGAGTCTCAGCCTTGAATTCGGCAGGAGCGTGACGGAAACATCTTTTTAATATTTGTCTGTTGAATGGCAGTATGCGTGTGCTGATGCCATTCATTCATAAAGCCACACATTTTTCATACTTTTTTTTTGGAACTGGGGATTAAATTGAGGAACTTGTGCTCACCAGGCAAGTGCTTATTCTACTGAGCCATCTCCCTAGTCCTCACACATTTTAATAAACAATTACTTTTCACAACACATTTGGGCTTATTTGAACACCAACTTATATATTTTTATTATTTCTGTTTCCTTCATTTATGATTGACTAAAGAGAATGTCCAGTATTTCTGTAGAACATTTTCCTGCATACAAGTTAAAACTTTCCAATATTTTGTATTCAATAACAATTCATATTGCCTTTATTTTGTGCCAATTTGAGAAGTAACAAACTATTTAATCAGGCATCTTATTAAACAACAATTTGGGTTGGTGGTGGGGTGTAGTTGGAGATGGTCAAGATGGACTACCACAGAACTCAGGGTAGAACTGAAGCCATGCTGAGTGTGGTGTCACCATCCCGGGCAACAGAGTGCTTGATGAAGTAAAAACAGAAGAATTTGATGTTTTTGAAAATCGACAGTCAGCTTGACTTGGTGAATGTCTTGCTGCTGAAGTCTCCTGTGATTGTAGGATTCCAGTTTCCCTACAGGTACAACACTGAATCATGTCATTGCTGTTCCATCATGTATGTAGATATGCAACCCTGGACTGGGGCAGCGTCATTGATTCCTCTTGCCCTGCAGTTTCCAGCTTCTTGGCCTGAGCAGTGATTGAATCATCAGGGCGTCTACCATAAGTGCGTCCTTGGGTGATTCTGCTCTCTCTTATCCTCTAAGTTTACTTAATAAAACTTCTTAGGGAGCTATATAAATGTAGATTTACCAGTTTTGTTACTTCAGTTCTGACAGAATAAATTTATATTGTACAATTTGTTATCAGAATGGTTCAAGAAACAGAAGGTTGGGGGGCCTGCCCCTTAGCTCAATTCTTTAAGTGGCTGCTTCAACAAAGCAGTCAGGCTCAGGTTGCTGTGGTTTGATCCCCACAACTCCAGCCAGCCAAACCTGCCCTGAAGGCATTTGGAGAAAAAAAAAAAGAAACAGAAGATTGAAGATTGCTTCAAGTACTTGAACTAGTGTTTTCTGAAGTTGGTTCTATAATTTAATGAAATTAAAGTAGGGACTTTTTTTCTTCTTATAATATAGAGTGTACTGATATACTGAATTATAAACTTTAAATATGTGTAATATGGATCCAATAGATTGTGCCAGTTCTCCTTTTCTGTGATGCAAGTAATCTATTAAGTCTATGCACAACAACTTGCATTACACCAGGAAGACTAAATAGTATGATTATGCTGGCTGCTTGCACGTAGGCACTGTGAACAAGTTAAGGAAGAATAAGTTCTCTGAGCTCAAGATTATAAAGGACAGCATAGTCTAAGGCATGGTGGAAGCTGTGATTTGTGTGGACCTTTAGCCCTGGCTATGTATGATTCTCTCAGATGTGATATAGATTGGAAGGCCATTCAATTTGTATTAAAATTATATAAGCAGAATCTTTTCAGGGCAATTGAAAGTATCTTCCTCAAATCATAACTATAAAGAAGTAAGTTCCACATGTACCAGATTACAGACCCAAAAAACTTGGTATGAAAATGATGTAAGGTATTGTTCAGGGCAAATCCTGATAGACTAAGGAAAACTCACAAGGTACTCCTTTGTCATCCATTGGAAAATGATCTTTTTAACATTGAAACTACACATTTAAGAACAGGAAACAAACATTTCAAAGTCCACTTCACCAGGGATTTGAACTAGTGCAAACGTGAGTGGACCTGCAATAAAAGTAGGGCCTTAAGGAGGTACAATGATCAGTAGACTTTAGCCAAGGTGCAGCTAGAGTGGTGCTGATGTTCCAAAGTTAACTGAGTGATCATTAGTTTTGGATTCAGAAACCTCAGTCTGGATAAATATACTTAATCCTCTACAGAATTTTCACATAGGTTCCCTAACACTTGGAGGAAGGCTAGTTATTTTAGTTGTAGAGATCATATAAAATGTTTTAGAATTACCTCTGTTCCATAAAATAGTAAATGAAAACAATGTTGTATCACACATAGGTGTACATAGCCTAGATCACCAGCAAGGTTTCAAAGTCAGGGGTGTTGGCTGTTAATAAAAGAATATTCAACTGTATTAGGTAGAGTGGGAATAAGACAGACGGAGCTTGCAATATTGTGGTAGCTAACCATGTGCTTTAAGGAATGGTGACCATAATTGTGGATTCTAGGCCATATGTGTCTTCCTTTGCTGAGCTAATTCACAATTTCCTTGGCACCTGGGGTGGAGCTTCCCCAGGATGACCTGGGCGGAGCACCAGGGCTGGGTGTGCAAACTGCCAGCATCAAAAGAGTCTTGAGGATTTCCCATGGTGCTCAGCCTGCCCAATAGACAGTCTGACTATGGGTGACTAATATTACCATGAAATTTCAAACAATTTGTCCTTTCTGATATAAATGCACACAGGGTGCAGAGCTGTCTTTTCTGTATGGAATTGATTGGTAAAACTAACATCTATGGACTTATAAAAGAGCTCCTTCATCACCATGTTATCACATACAGCTGTGTTTCACATGTTAGTGTAAAGTTCACTGTTAAAGAAACATGGCAGTGTGCTTAGGCTGATGGGCGCAGCTGACTAATGCAATGATGAAATCATCTTGGGATGGTGCAACTGCAGGGCTGTTATTTGGCAATATCTGAGGTCTAAACTAAGTTCTCCAGAAGACTGTGTATATGTTTAAAAGTTTGTTCCTGTGTGTTTGAGGTACATGCCATTTTCCATCCTCTATGGACGTGGGTACATGCACACACCGTAGCTTGCTTCTTTTGCGATTTCGTTCACCTTCTCCCCCGTTTCACGCTTGCCTTCTGCCCTAGATACTCATCCTGATTTCCTTTCTTCTGGAAATTGGTCACAAATCCTATTATGCCTTGTAAGGCTTACATCTGTAGAGCTTGTTAGTATCTTGCACTTCGAATACCTCTATTGTACTTAATTACCCTTCCCTTTCCCCTCAGCTCTTGCCCTTCTTCCTGTGAATCTTTTCCCTCTCAGGAGAGATCTATCCTACTATCCTTCTTTTATCTACTCTCCTTACTTCTCTTCATTCTTGTTCACTTAAAAAAATATAATACTGAGTGAAATGTGACACATAAGCTTATTTATCATACAGTGTCTCTTATTTGAGTGAAGCAAAATGTGCTCTTAATTATTACCCACTTTTACATCATTATTCC